ATAGAACTCAGAGAAACAGTGTACTTACTAGATTACTGGTTTATTATTAAAGGATGTAATTCAGGAATAGCCAGATGGAATTGATGCAGAGGCATGGAGAAAGGACAAGGAACTTCCATATCCTCTCTGAAAGCATCACTCTTCTCAAATCCCCACCTGTTTGGATTTTACAGTCATGATTGGTTAAGTCCCTGACCACTGGTGACTGATTCAACCTCTGTGCTCTCTCCCCATCAAGGGGGTGGGACTGAAGGTCTCTACAGTCTATTTGAGGTTGGTGTCCCTGGCAACAAATCCCCTTCCCTGGTTATCTAGGGGCTTTCCTTAAGTCGTCTATTAACATTACAAAAGACTCCTTGATTGCCCTCTTCACTTAGGAGATTCCCGGGGTTTCAGGAGCTCTGTGCTAGACCTGGACAAAGACGAAATATGTATTTATTATAAATCACAGTATTACAGTAAAAGAAAGGGGGAAGAAAACCCTTTCTGATTAAGCAGCCAACACTACACTGTCTGTTCCAGTGCACTCATGACTGTTGTAGTTGTGTTTATTCACAAAATAAAGTTCTTCAGGTGCCCTGTGATCAAAGGTCAGGACCAAGAAGCTTAGCCAAAATGCTAACCTCTGGCAGGGAAATCTACTCTCAAGAGAAGAAGTCGTTACTCCTGCCACCCAGTAGCCCCCACCCCCCCATGCACACTGGAGTCCATTGACTCATCAGGTGGAAGCTGCTATGACCAAGACCATGGACACTGCATGTTCTACTGTTGGAGAAGTGAATAAAGTACGCCAAAATGGCTGATGGCGCTAAAACAAACTCTGGTCTCTAGTTTAGAGACCCCCTCCTCTGGGTTCTTCTTCCTTTGTTTGCTGCGCGTGTGAAAACCCCCACAGATGTGGAAGCTGACAACTATAAATTACCCTCCCCACTTGCATTCAGCGCTCAGATCTTTGGAGAAACGGTCTCCTCTGTGCCTGCCGGTGTTAAATAAATCTCCGATCCACCAAAATCTCCAAGTGCTGCTTGGTGTTTCCACCAGTGTTCCAGCCTGGTTACATAACACTACCTTCTGCTGACCCCCCTGTCCTGCCCTCCTGCCCACAGTGAAATGGCTTGCCTCTCCATGCACCACCACCTTCAAGCCAGAAGCAATGTAACTCTGTATTTTCTGCTTATTGACCCAGTAGTGACAACCATAAAAGGAAATTTGCATTCTGGTAACTCAACGGGTTACAACTTAAATTCCCACATCAGGATGGACTTCTGTTCTCTGCAATTCCTCTATTTCACCAGGATATACTATGGTTTAGAAACGAGGCTGGTTGCTACTTGAATTTGCCAAGTCCTTGAGATGATAAACTGTTCCCATGTTCTTCGACTCTATATAGGAGCAACCATGTGTGTTTGTAACACGTCTATGACAAAGTTTGCCACCAATTGCTTTGTTTAACATAGCGATTCTTACCCAGGGGTGTATGTCAGACTCACAGGAGCAGCTTTGCTTTAGTTTCCTTTTGCTGCTGTAACAAATTACCACAAGGTCAGGGGCTTAAAAATAACCGATTTATTTTGGAGGTCAGAAATTTGAAATCAGTTTCACTAGGCTGAAGTCAAGATGCATGCCAGTGAGGCTATTTCCTTCTGGAGGCTCTAGGGGAGAGTCCTTTTCCTGGACTCATTTAGCTTCTGGTGTCCACTTGTTGTCCTTGGCTGGTAGCTCCTCCCTTTTGCTCACTGTGCATCATTCCAGTCTCTGCTGCCATCATCACATTGCCTTGTCCTCCTGTGGTCAGATCTCACCCTGTTTCTCTCTTACAGGGATACTTGTGATTGAAGTTAGGGCCCACAGGGATAATTCAGATAATTTCCCTATCCAGGACCCCGAAATTAATCATGTACTCAAAATCCTCTTTTCCCATGGAAGGTAACATTTCACATGTTTCTGAAATTAGGACATGGATATTTGAGGGCCATTCTTTGGCCTCCCACAGAGCCTAAACATGCTTAGACACCCCTCAAAGATTCTAGTTTAGTAGGTGGGGTCAGGACATGTTTATTTTTCAAAATATATGCCTGACTAAGTACCTGTTACCTACTACATAGTTATATCCTACCTTCAGTTGCTTATAATTTTATCTCCGCGGTTTTATTTAGATGGCTCCAATGCTGACTGGGCAGCACATACACAAGAACTTGATGATTGACTATCTTATTGAATGCTCACGTGCTTTCTAAGTAGGCTTTGTTTTTTTAAGATTTTAAGTAATGTCTGTGCCCAGTGTGGGGCTGGGACCTACAACCTCAAGATCAAGAGTCACATGCTCCACTAACAAAGCCAGCCAGATGCCCCCAAATAAGTTTTATTCCCATTTTACAGATGTGGAAGTAGACTCAGAGATTGTGTTCCATCTGCCTAAAGTCATGCAGCAAGAAAGAGACAGAACTAGAACACAAACCTTATTCTAGCCTTTATTCTAGAACCCTACAAATTTCATAAAACCACCCAAGTCAGCAGAATGGCAGGAAAGAAAAGTTCAATGTTAGAGGGGACTTCCCAAGGCTCATAGGTCCATTACCAATCCCTGTAACCTCCACCCATGGAACTGTTGGGCTGAGTATTAGAATCCCACATGCCCTTCATCTACCTCCTGAGACCTGTGTCACAATTACAGTTTATCCTTACTGGATAAGGTAGATTGCAGACACTGGGTGAAGGAGCAGCCTCTTGGGATTTGAGCTCACTCCCCACACAGCTAGGCCGCCTCCCCCACATATGGCAGGATGCGTACCACCCAAAGTTGAGAACGTGACTTTCTTCAATCACTCTTATACTTGTTCCAGGTTACCATGGCAACAAGTATTCATCCTAGCAGCTGTTCCACAGCCGGTTAGCTTTTCTGAGTTCTGCCCGAGCATTTGTGGCAAACATCAGAAACAAGTCTGTAGCGGCACCCTGGAGCCCAGGTCACCTTGATCCTGACTCTACACAAACAGACCAATCTGGGGAAGAGAAGCTCCAGCTTCATGATCAAGACACAGTGATATCCTGGACAAGCTACACTAGGGTTCAAGTTGCTCTTCTGTAAAATGTATGCATTTCTAGCAAAGTGTTGGCTGTAGGGACGCATTAGAGGTTATATTTGTTTCCTATTGCTGTGTTAAGAAATTAATACAAACTGAGTGGTTTAAAACACAGGTTATTTTGCAACTTGAATTCAGAAGCCCAAAATGGGGCAGCAGGGCTGTATTCTAGGAGAGAATATATTTGCTTGCCATGCCCCACCTAATATAGGCTGCCTGCATTCCGTGGCTTGTAGCCCATGTCATTCTGATTTCTCCCTTTGGAACATGATGTGATTCTGATCTATCTACCCTATTTATAGGGACCCATGTGATTGGACCCTATTGCATAATGGCCCCTTGTCAGGACTCTTACCACATCTGCCCAGTCCATGTAGACTTGGGGAGATCAGGAAGCCACTTAAGTGGCCAACTCTTAAGTGCCATTTTACAAAGTACAGCATATGCAAGATTTCTGGTTCTAATATGTAACACTGTTACAGGATAGTCACAGAAAAGTTGGACTCTAACACCATTTGTCATTAGTAGGTTAAGGCCGTATTCTCTTATCAAGCAGTATCTAAAGAATGGCTTTGATGAGATACCTTGAATTTTTAACCTCTGTTACTCTAGACAGACAAGACATTTCATATAATGGTGTGGGGTTTCCTTCCCCACACCAGGGATGAGTTCTACCATATATATCTAATGAATGGAAATTAATATTGGATTCCTCCTTCCAATATATAAGACCTACATTATACCTAGCCTTCTTGAGGAAACACTTGAAAAAACCAGATTATGGCATTTCCCACTTGAGGGTTGAAGAAGTCCACAAAACACTGTTTTCACCTCCCTGCCATGTACAGATATTTAATTTTTCTTTTGAGAGAACACACATGTAAGTAGGGGCTGACCAGAGGAAGAAGGAGAGAATCTTAAGCTGGCTACATGCCCAGTGCATAGCCCAACTCAGGCCTCAATCCCACCACTGTGGGATCATGACTTGAGCCAAAATGAAGAGCCAGATGCCCAGTTGTCTGGGCCACCCAGGCACACCCCTGTTCAGACATTTAAAAGCTTTATGACTTTTTTCCAAAACAAGTTCTTATTTAGACCTAGGCTTTTTCTAGTTATAGAAATGAACTCACTTATATTCTCCGTTAGTTGTCTTGAAGATGGTCTGTTAGAGCTTCAGTGTGAAGCAAACACTAGTCATACTGATTTTACTGCAGCGTAGCAGAAGCTAGGGGACCCTGAGGGAAAAAAAGGCTCAGGAATAATGAATAATCATGTGTTGGTGGGGGGGGGGGGGGGGGGGGAAGCCACTCTCCAGCTCAGCTAAGGGGCTGGTGTTCAGCTGTGGAGTCTTAATGAGGCTAGAAATGTTGTAATTGCACTTAAGTAAACTAGAACCTTCTAATTTTATCCCTCCAAGGGAGATTGCTGGTCTTGAATTGCATGAGGAGGACAGGGAAGAATGTGACTGAATACCTCAAGTTCTCAGGTAAATTTTCAAGGAATAATTTCCATTAGGCAATGTTGGAGCAGAACACTAGATAAATTCAATTAATTCCTTGGGAACATGTGGTTTCCCTGCCCGTCTAGACAAAGAAAATCATGCCAGTGACTAGGGGTGATTTCTTGTCTCTTAGTCTTGCATAGATGAATGGAGGAGTTTAAGACTTGTCTCTGTAGTCAAGAGCCACTGTTTAATTCGCTGGCTCTACCAGTTTTGGTTAAGGACGTCAAAGCTGCGTTGACAGTAAGCACTGAAGTCATACATTTCCTTATTCACATCCACACAGACTAAAGCCCATTGGGGTTGTGGAAATGTCCTACAGTTACCATTAAAGCATGACTATAAGAGAACACTCCATGTAAGGTTAATGAGGTAAAAAGCAAGTTGCTTACTTCAACCATTTTATTTGAAAATCCTTAGTGATTTAACATCATGGTTCTGTTCTTGCGCAGGTAGGTGATGAAGCCTAGCGTTGCCACAAGGCCTGCTAAGGCAGCCACAGCTACCACAGTCTTAAAAGCAACATATCCGGCAGCCCCATACCCTTTTGAGTCCACCACATCTGGGAAGAAAGCAGACATTCAGGTCTTAAGATCATTTCAAATCTAAAGGCTTAAGTTCAAGCCTTAGGCTCCCCAGAGAAGTTAAATTATGCCTCTAATGTCTCCTTTGGGAAGCTTGCAATAGAGTATTTAGTCTTACTCTTTGAGCCAACCCCCTCCTCTCTGGTCCCACTGCTGCTCCTACTTCCTACTCACTTTAATTAACCTAAAATCCGATGGGCTGACACCTGGAAACAATTTTACTGTTCCAGTCTAACCAACATTCTGGCATTCATAGAGATGACCTCGAATGTACAATTTCTTACACTGTCTTAAGTCCCTAACAAAACTTGCAATTTCCAATTGTAAGCCTAAAATTAAGACCATTTGTGATGAGGATATGGGATATGACAAGGAACACCATCTAGTACAGACTCAAATTTGGCAGTGGTAAGGCACATTCATTCTGATCTCATAGTTTCACTTCTAGAAAGATATCCTGAATTTGTTTAATTGGCAAAGATTTAAGAGCATTCTACTGTGACATTATTGACAGAGCTTGAAGTAACCTACAGGTCCTTGATTGAGGACTGTGGCTAAACTACAGCTGTATGCATGCAGTACTATGTAGCTGTTAGCTGTGAGGTGCTCTCTGTACAGATTTAAGTGTTTAAGTGTAAAATCATAGAAAGCAGGTAGAAAATATGATTCCACTTGTGTTAAAGGGAGATTTTTTTTAAGGGGGATTTTTGGAAGAGTACACAAGAGACTTAATGCAGTATAGCTAGGAAGAGATGCTCCTTTCTCTTCCTTAGAGAGAGATTCTTTCACTGCTTAGAATTACTATAATCATGTATTACTCATGTATGGTTAAATTCAACATAAAAGGTATGAACTTGAGTTCAGGAAGTGCCCTAAGCTTTAGCTCCATACCTCTGAGTGAAGAGCTCTCTGACAGCAGGAGGATGGGTCCTGGAAGACTCACTATCATTTTCTCTTCTTCAGTGGTGCCTGTGGCTGGAGGGAGAAATTGGAATTTGTGTCTGTCTGACCTCTGGAATAGCGAGGAGTAGAGAGGGGTGTTGATGGACTTTTGTGAGCACATCTCCATCGAGTCCCCTGCTCTATGTGGGTTTTCCCCACCTTTGCAGGAGAGGACATACACCTTAGGGTAAGAATAGGATAAAATCTCTAAGAATATTCAAAGATTAAGTTCCGAGTCAACCTGGACTCCAGCATAGTAGCTTTTGGGAGTCATGTTTGCAAAACATCAGGCTCCAGTCCATGTGTAAAACCAAATTTGCCAATAGTCTTATCAAGAACTGGTCATCTCAGTCTTACTCTATTGGCAGGGCAGACTGGGCTAAGAAGGTTTCTTGCAACTGAATGAAGAGTCTCAATCAACCCTCCTCCTTTTTTTTTTTTTTTTTTTTAACTTTTTTTTTTTTTTTCATGTCAACTCTTCACCACACTTGGGGCTCAAACTCACATTCCTGAGATCAAGAATTCCATGCTCTAGCAACTGAGCCATCCGAGCACCCCAAAGCCTTATTCTTAGTTTCTAGTTCTATAAAGACCAGTCTTGCTTTGACAACTCATGGCAACAAGGACTTCAAGTTATTACCTCTCCTGTGTCTGAATGACACAGGGCAAGTCACGGAACACAGAGGGGAGTCATCAGACAGTCGACTGCAGATTAAGACACTGCAGTGGAAGTAGACCTGGGGATAAAGGAAGAGTTAAGTGGAACTGATGCACTCACTTTTGACCTGTCCCAGGTGACTTAATCACTTACCAGACTAGAAAGCACTTGGGCCTCTGATACAAAGGCAAAGGTCTTCACATCAAACCTCCGATAGTGAGAAGGATAGGTCACAGAGGAGCCAACTGGATGGAAGGTGGTTCTGTGGTTGTCCAGGTTGTATTCACAGCTAGGAGGCACACATCAGCAAAGATTATCAGCTTCATTTTCCCTGAAGTTTAACTCAACATCTGCCCATATTCAGCTATGTGTATTCAAACACCTTCAGAATTGTTCTACCTTCTACCTGTACATTTTATTTACTATACTTCTGACATGGCATCTCCACAAATATTAAGTCATGAGTTGTATATGCTAGTTCTGTTTTTCGAACATGCATTAGTAAAATTTAAGTACCTATCTGTTTGCCAGCCCAACTTATCAAGAACCTCCAGTTTCATATGTGTGTTTTCATCGGACATTGGCTTAATCCTTCCATACTCAGCTGAGTACCTATTTTATCCCAGGCAGTTAGTATAGATCAGGGACAAGGAAAGTAGAGAATTGGGGTGCCGGAGTGGCTCACTTGGTTGAGCAACCAACTTTGGTTCAGGTCATGATCTCTCATAGTCCAGGAGTTTGAGCCCCACATCAGGCTCTGTGCTGGCAGCTCAGAGCCTGGGGCCTGCTTTGGATTCTGTGTCTCTCTCTGCCCATCCCCCCTCACTTCTCTCTCCTCTCTCAAAAATAAATAAAAAACTAAAAAAAAATAGAGAACTACTGCTATTTTACCTCTGATGATACAAGAGGTTGGTAGCTGTAGAGAAAATCTTATGTTAGGTGGGCTACATGTAGTCCTGGACCAAGAGTGTACCTGGAGTTTAAGAGCTTAGGAACAGATTATAAGGGCTTCAAGGAAGGTAATCTATGGTTTCTATACAGATGAAGACCCTTGAGGGCAGAGCTGGGAGGACAGCCACCAATTCACATGTGTCTAGTCACAGCTTCAGAGCATTATGGATCGAGTCAGATAGGCATTTAAATCCCACTATTTCCTACATCTTATTTTGGCTAGTCATTTAAGCAGCCAGCTTGGGTTTTATCATGAAGTGGGGTGGCTAGTGTCTTTTCATAGCGGGAGGAGGTTCAACTAATGCATGTTGAGTACATAGCACCTTGCTTGGAACATGGGTGAATAGGAACTGGCAATCTCTTCTCTCTAGATCAAGAGTATTAGAGCCTGGCATCCTTGGAGAGCAACCCATTCTTTTAGATTCAAGGTTAAGAGCAAAGTATATCATCCTATTGGACCAATGACTGGTTACCAATGAGTACCAAAATCAGCACTTTTGTGACCTAGTGCTCTTCTGAAACCCTAGAGGGTTTTATCTTCTCACTGGCCTTTTTTTTCCTAAACTTTTTAAAAGTAATCTCTACACCCAACACGGGGCTCACACACAATCCTGAGACCAAAAGTCACATGCTGTACTGAGCCAGCCAGGAGTCTCTTCACTGGTGTTTTGATTAGCTGAGCTACCTTATCTATAGAGAATACCTACCCATCCATGATAATATTCCACTGGGGGACGGAGGCTGGGTCCACCGTGGGTGTTGCCCAGCAGTCATCTAAGACCAGCTTGATGTTGGGGTCAGACCTATTTAGGACTCTCACTTCCAGATAAATTGGTTGGCGGAGGTATCTCACCACAGGGTACTCCTTCTCCCCGTAAGGTTGGAGGTAGGATTTATCTGAAATGGAATTGAGACCTCTTCAGTATTCAAGTGGTTGATGGTTGCAATAGGAGCTGAAGCATCACTAATGTTCCACTGGTCTGGCATCATCACAAAGTTCAGGTTAGGGAAGATTTACCTCAAAGGATTTCAGCAGGTTTTTTTAAATTTTTTTTTCAGTGTTATTTTGAGAAAGAGAGGAGGTGAGCAAGGGAGGAGTAGATAGAGGGAGACAGGATCCAAACCAGGTTCTGCACTATAAGCAGAGCAGGGCTGGAACTCAGTAACTGTGAGATCATGACCTGAGCCAAAGTTGAACACTTAACCAACTGAGCCACCTAAGTGCCCCAAGCAGATTTTTTAGGTTGTAACATCTCACCTGGGTAGGTTTGCAGGATTAAGGCAAGTGGACCTGGCCTCACTGAGGCCTCTGGAGGAGGAAGACTTTGGACTCTGGTATTTATTAGCAGGTCACCTTTGCTGTAATGGCACTGCACTGTCATTCTGTAAGACATTAGGGGAGGGGCAAGGTGGTACAGAAGAATTTTAGGTTAGGATCCTGCTTGAATTTCATCTGGAGCTTAACAAGTAGCAATTTAATCATACCTGAATTCACTATCTCTAGAAATTGTGCTTGGAGGAAGATCCGCCCAGACAGCATGTATTTCATTTTCATAGATGACTTTGCCTTCCTTGAACTTAAAGTTGGATCAAGGTTAGAAGCTACTAACAAGTGACCTCGAAGTCAAGCCCTAGCATTCCGTAGTCTGCCAGCACCTACCTTATGTCTTGTCCCGCATCCATTCAGGGGTATGTGAAACAGTATCAGCCCTTGAGATGCAGCCTGGAAGGTAGGTTGGCAGGATGAGTCTCCCACCCTTAGGGTTTCTAAGTTGAGAGCTGGTTTTGTCTGGTGACTGTAGACCTTTATGTCCATAAACCCATCCTGAGTACACAGGTCACCTGTAACTAGATGGTGGTCAGAGTTTAAAGTAGTTTGTCTGCCAGGTGAATGGTATTTACCAACACTGAAGTGCGGATGAGGAGATCTAGGAGAAACCCTTGAGGGGCTGAAGTTATTCATGGATCAGATTATGGCTTAAAGTGTAATGCCTTGTATCATCATGTCCCTTATTTCAAGACTCACAAATCCTGAGTGGTTTGGGGAGGGCAAGGATGGAGGGTAGTGGACGCAGGAGCTAGTTTTCTTATTGGCTGGACTGGATACAGGTTAGTAAATAAGAGAAGCACAGGGGCAGAGGCAATACTGAAGAAATACCTACTCCCTGTTTTTGAGCCACTTATCAGCATTTGGGGGAAGTCTTTTCAACTTTTGTAGCCCTTATAGTTACAGGTTTGGATCAATCTTATTTAGATGGTGGGCTCAAGCTCCTAAACCACAATATATTCAGGCTACTTAAACATGGATCCCTTATACATACAGGTACCTATCACTGTCTTTTGGAGAGCTTATCTACTTAGGATGCTGTTTTAGTAGCTATACTGAGATTTCTGATCTGATCAGTTTCCTCAGTAGAAGCAATACAGAGTCCGAACTTCTATACCCATTCTGACCTACAGAAAGGCTAAGGGAGAAATAATGTAAAAAACCATTTTTCTTGGAAATGTTTTTACCTATAGAAACTGGTGACTCACAGACACACTCAGGATAAAGCACCGTGGATATAGTCTCTTGATTAAAGGCAAAGGTCAGCTTGAGTGAAGCTAAGTAGAACTGATAGGGTAGGCATTTTTCAGAGAACTGCAAGGAGAGAGGAATATCAATTAGCAGCCACAGCCTTGGGGGCCCAGAACAGTCCCAGTGAAGCAGGAAGGAAGTACACTGAATACCTGTAAGGCACACTCTAGAATTAATCTGGATTCCCTTCAAACCACAACAAGCAAGATCCTATCACTTCTCCAGATCAGGATGCTTTCCTAGGCAGGAAATTTATTGCTTTAAACTCATGCCCTGAAATACCCAGCTCTGCATGCTCTTTGTACTTTTCACTGAAGCCTGAATTTACAGATCAAATTCCAAAGAGTGGAGTGCTCTGCCAAGCTAGGTCTGATTAATCAAGCATTCTACAAATGTTGTCAGATGTTATTGCGAAACACACTACCCCAACCTAAGATTACTCTCTGGTGTCCCTGGCAATTCCATCAGTCAAGACTGGCCTCCAAGTTAACAGTTCAGGACACTTTTGTTTGGATCAAACTGTCCCGCTTTTAGTAGGGCATAGGAGGGTCATCATTAACAACTTATAATCAGTTCGATGAGCTGTTACACACACACACACACACACACACACACACACACACACACACACAATGAAACAAACAAACAAAAAAAAAACCCCACACAGGAATACTTCCATTGCAGCGGTTTAGGAGGCTGTATGTTTCAGAGTAAATTTCAGTTACTGGAGAATTCGCTTAGGCCAAGTGATCAAATGAGGCCTTTGATTTTACATCTATTCTACTGACAGTTTATGGACCAGTCATGAGCTGTATCAGGGTTATTTAATGACTGTTCTTCAAGTCTGGCTTCCTTTAAGCCTAGCTGTTCATGATAGGAACATACTTCCATTTTGAGAAGAGTTTTGCTGAAGTGCAATGTCAAGCCACTTGATTCTTCTTTATCAATCCCATTGTTGTGCAGCTGGCTTACAGCAAAGTTCCTATTTTCAAAGCTCACAGATTTTAACTTCCCAGGAAACTCTGGTATGGTCAGAGTCACATGTGTGGCATTACAGGTCACAGCATCTAGAAGGAATGGCCAACACAATGCCCATGATCAGCTTTAAGCCCCTAGAACAGTGTCTCCCACAACTGGAGTTGCCCCTTCCTGTATGTCAGGGCCTTACCTGACATACAAAGCACTCGTGTTGTTAAGATGATCTTCTGCCCAAGAGATTCATGTATCAACTTCAGAGGCACCATGTAGAGGTGACTGTTACCTTGCTGAGGGTGGGGTGGGGAGAGAACATTTTTCCAACATTGGTTTACTTGAATTTCTAACAAATGCTCTAGGAGTCATCAGGGCAAACATATACTCAAGTATTGGGCACTATTTTGGCCCAACTAGAATTTAAGCAGTTTGTCCAATGACTGTTTATCAGATGTTCTAGTTTTTAAATCTTAGGTCTCCTCACCTCTGGCCAGTCAGTATTGTCTACTGGTAGGACCTATACGTCACTCCTAGGCAGATGTGAACAAAAGCTGGTTTTATCTTAACAGCATTCAGAGGAAATGTTTGTAAAACTCAGCAATCTGTTTATATTCTATGTGTAACAGGACTGTTCTTGTTAAAATGGCTGACATTTAAGCGCTTATCTGCTAGGACCTGTTTAAATTACTTTCACACATTAACTCATTTAACTTCATGTCTTCATTGTTGGCCCTCAAAGCACCAATTTCTACAAGCAATCATTGTCCTATGATTTATAACAACAACATCTTAATTGCTCAAAGACCTTCATGGTACCCTAGATCACATAGAGTAGATCTAGATAGATCTATGGGAAGAACACATCTGTTTTGTTCACCCTTTTATATTTCATACTCAGTGCAGCGCCTAGCACATGGGAGGCATTAAGATACCTGTTCAATCAATTGTATTCTCAGTTATTTTGAAGACATGGTTGAGACCACACTTAGACTTAGAATATTGGTCTGTCCTTTGGTAGTGGTATAAGAAGGTTCATACCTACCATGTAGTGAGTCACTCCAGTGGCATTGAATGACACCTGGAAGGTGATCTTGTGGTTATCAAACAGGATATTGTATCCTTGTCTCAAGACATCCTGAAGAGTCAGAGTTTTGGCTTTTGTACCATCACCAACCTCAATGCTCCATCCCATCGGATTCTTGGTATCCTAAAGATACAAGTTTGATTTAGAGGGCTGGTGCTCACCTTAACTCCAAGACTATTTGTCTACTTAATATTTTAATCAAGATTGAAGTTAGGTCACTTCTACTATAGAACTAAAGGTTACTTAGGTCTGTAATTTAACAGGTGACTTTCATACCGTATTTTCATCAGCCAGGCCAGGAATGACATTAAAGGTAAACTGGAAAGAAAAAGTAAAGAAACCATGATGTGAGGCTTTGATTTGGCAGAGAAGGTTTCTGAAATCATGCCACCTGTCAATATGTGTAGAACACCCAGAGCAACTGCTGTGTACTTCTACCAAGAGGTCTGGTTGTGGGGTAAGAAGAGGCACAAGTCCAGTCATGAAAACTAGCTGTGCCCTTAGACATCATTTCATCTCCAGGCTTCCGATGACAAAAAGCAATTGCAAGATCGCAACTCTCTTCCAGTTTTAAATTGGGACACTAAGTTCTTAGATGCTCATTTTTTCCCTTTGTCCACAGAAATCAAGCATTCAGTCAAGTCATGCCTTTTTATCATTGTTATAATCAAGGATGAATTTATTTTCCCATTGTTGATATTAGTTATGTCAGACTATAAAATCCCAGAGTAGGAGATTGGGCTATTTTGCTTTTTTACTGTATCTTAGCATCTGGCACAGAACCTGGCACATCATGGGCATTCAATTTGTCACATGTTTTTTTTTTTTTTTTCAACGTTTATTTATTTTTGAGAGAGAGAGAGAGAAAAGAGAATGAACAGGGGAGGGGCAGAGAGAGAGGGAGACACAGAATCGGAAACAGGCTCCAGGCTCTGAGCCATCAGCCCAGAGCCTGACACGGGGCTCGAACTCACGGACCGCGAGATCGTGACCTGGCTGAAGTCGGACACTTAACCGACTGTGCCACCCAGGCGCCCCTGTCACATGTTTTTTAATGTGATTGCAGCTACCAATGTCATCCTTTCTACTGCCAGGTATGATGTGCTGAGCACTGTGTATACCCTCTCAGTTAATTCTCAGGGCCATCCTTTGAGTTAAGTACTATTGTCTCCTGCTTAAGACTTGGAAACTAAGACTCAATATGGTCAAGAAATGAACCCAAAGCCACATCATCAATTAGTGGTGAATACCAGATTGTAATCCTGATCCTGTTCCTAACATCAGCTCTGTGTAGACCACCCCATTTCCCCTGCAGTAACCATGAGAAGCCATCAGTCTGCTTCACTCACAGACATGGAATCCTTTGTGCAGATAGTGGATCCTGCATGCTCATGGGTTTCTTCTGCTTGCATAACTGGACAGTTGATCTGATACATCAAACTGTTATGTCTTGAAGCAGCATTGTGGTCCTTGAGTCTGATGATCATCCGGTGCTGGCCAAGCTGTGTGCAAAGGCATAGTAACAACAGTAAGTGCTGGTACCTTGGTGGGAAAGGTGATTCCAGAAGACCATTGGATCCAGCTGAATGGCCAGACTCTTGAGGTTACTAGTACCACAGGTTCCGGAAAGTAACCATTCCTATACAAAGATAGGCTATAGCTAGTGCTTTCAAGTATCCTAGGTAAGACTCCTGTCTTGGCAGAAAGTAGTTTATTGAGCTTCAGGGATTAGAGTTAAGGTTTTGATTTGACATTTACCTTTGAATATCATGGTTCCAGCTAATTTGGCACCTCTGCCCAAGTCAAACAAATATTGAGCACGTATTTATCAGCCATTGTTTGGGTGCTAGACAGGGCCATCTTTGGTATTTTCCCCTCGTTTAGGGAACTCAGTCTCAAGCAAAGGACAGCCACCTTTTTTCTATTACCTATTTAAGTATTTTAGGATTTTAAGGCCACATACGATTTCTAACATGTACTTTTTAAGTCTTTAAAAACCATCCTTAGCTCAAGGACTATCACACACATGCATACATGCACATCATGGGCTCAATGTGGCCATCCACAGTTTGTAGTTGGCAGACCCTTGGTCTAAAGCAAACTCTAGCCTCTCTGAAAGTTGGCAAAGGCCATCTCCGAAAGGAAAAATTAATTACTGGAGGTTTTCACTGCAGAATTAGATCAAGTAGCCAGTTAAGTATGCAGATTTCTAAAATGTACCTTAGACCTAAGTCATCAACTTAGATCAATGAACTAAGTGTATACAAAGTTCCCCCAAGTGATTCTTGGCTACTTGACAGGTTTCCTTTACTGCTCCCAATAACCTTGATTGGGCAGTACTGTTGCTTGGCAATAGAGAAAACCCTATTGCTCAGCTGCTGCTTGCCTTCCAACACCTGTTTTTATAGCATAGCAGTTCTCTTTGCCAGCACCAAAATAGCCTTCAGTTGCCCATGGAGGTTACTGATCAGAATATCTCATTTTAAACATTTGTTGTATCTTACTGCTGTGCCAAGTTCTTCATCTGTATCTTATAAATTTTTAGGTGCCCTGTAGAAAAGGTACCATAATCCCCCTTTTGCAACGAGCAAGCCAAGGCTTAGAAAGGTTAGCTCACTTGCTCAAGATCACAACTCGAGAGTGGCAAAGCCAGTACTCATACCAAGGCCCTAACTTCAGGGTTTTTCATTTTCAGCATTATTGACATTTCAGGACTGGTAATTCCATGTTAAAGGGAGCCACCCTGTGCAATGTAGGCTTTTTAGCAGCAACTGTGGCTTGTACCTGCTGGATGCCAGTGGCAGACAGCCCCCTACACCAGTTGTGACAGCCAGTAAGGTCTTCAAAAGGTCTCCAAACATTGCACAATGTCCTCTTGGAAGACAAAACTAAACAACTCCCCCCAACCCCCAAAAACAGTAACAAAAACCAACCAACCAACCAACCAACCACCACCACCAACCACCCTTGATTGAGAGTAACTGCTCTACTCTAAAGCCAAATCCTTAACTAGTAGGGTTACTATTAGTAATTACTAGGTTACTATTTCCCACCATCACTCCTCAAAACTATTACTTACCGTTCTTCTGGTACAGGTCTCATATGGGGCCTTTAAGGTGAGCTTTTCTGGATCCAAGATGTAAGTGCAGTTCAACAATTCAAAACTAAAGGGATCTATAGAAGCCAGAGCAAATGGCCAAGAAGTACGTTACAGTAACAAAGTAAACCAAAGCTACATAGCCAAGAGTATCAATCCATTTCTAAGCTCCATCATTTTACTTTTTATTGTCCCAGATGGGTGATAGGACCCAAGCTTTAAAAGATGCTGTGGTTTCCTACTAAAGATTTCTCAGGAAATTCTGAGATAAGACAGGTTTCTAAGGCAAGATGAGGTCTCTCACTCTTACTGGCATCATGCAAATCAGGGACCCCTGTGGCATCATGGGAATTGGGTGTCAGTTACTCTAAAGTTTGCATACTCTGCTCACCTGAAAAATAGGGCTAGCCTTGAACTAAGAGTTTTCTACTAAGACTAAGATAAGAATATACACATTACCTACCCACCACAGATGTATGCCATTTTTTGGTGCCAAAATCACTTGGAAATTCCACTGCCATTCTAGTTTCATAGCAAGTGACAGTACCTGAAGAGGAAAGGAAAAGTTTGGGGCCTCCTTGAGCTGCAGGAGGCAGGATTCCTAAACTTATGGAGTCACCTCTCCAACAGGCATCAGGGAAGAATACCACTTGCAAGAGGCAAACTTTGATCCCTACGTTCAGGGAGCTCACAGATTGGTGGCAAAGACATAACTAAAATGCAAGTTACCAACTGTAGGGAAGTTGTCAGTTAAATGCCTGGGGCTTTCTCGAACTCTCCAAAGTTAAGCCCAGAAGAGGCCCCAGAACAGGGACCAGGCTAGAACCTTGACAATGATGCTGACAGAGGTGGGGATGGTAGGTCTGTGAAGAGCTGGAGAACAAATGTTCTATCTAAAGACTTTTCAACTTGAAGTTTAAAAAATGCCCAACATGGGGTGCCTGGCTGGCTCAGTCAGAAGAGCATGCAAGACTCTTGATCTTAGGGTCCTCAGTTTGAATCCCGTGTTAAACGTAGAGATTACTTAAACTTAAAAACTTCACCCTACATAAGCCCAAGAACACTTTTTAAAGGCTAAATTCTACCTATAATATGCTATTTTACATCCTCTTGCCCATGTGAAAGTTTAAAAAACTCATAAGCAGAGCAGCTCCAATTTTGTCTGTCATGTTGATGCTTTCCTTAAGCATAAGCTTGTGTTTGAAAAGGACTACCCTTAAAGATGGGGATTTAGTGTTGTGTTCTGCTGTTTTGGGGGTACCATAAAGCTTGAGGCAGTAAGGGAATAAAAACTAGTGTAGGTGTTCTGCAACATCTTTGCTTTAGCTAGTATACCAAGTCATGGGTAAGTAATAGCAAAATCTACTGACTTGATCAAACTAAGAAACGGGGTGAGTGGAGATTGTGGCCCATGTTAATGTTCCCTGGCCATCTAGCTGCAACCTGTTTGAAAGATGCTAAGGGCATTTCCCCTCACCCAACAGACATACCTGGGAAGACAGGATTCACCAACTGCAAAACACCTATGGAATTCACTGAAGTCACGAGGATAAAGAGTAGAAAAAGTGACCTGTAGGTGCTAGAAGGAGATTGGGGAGAGAGTTAAGGAGGAATGAGCTTTAGCAAACAAGGCCATTGTGTCTGTCCCTACTCTGCTGCCAGAATTACTCACCTCCAATCTGCATTAAACCAGCTTGAAGGACTCCCGCTATCTCCTTTCTGTCTGGAGGCCATGGCCAAATGTATCACCAAATCAACCAGATAGAGGGATGGGTTGTTCTGTGCTTTTTTTTATAGCAGAACATAGAACATGACCCCGCCCTCTCCCCATTGGAGACACCTGAGTTTTCTCCAGCTTTCTCACCTGAGAGGAGGGATTTGGGACAGGAAGGACTTTCTGGAAGTCCTGAAGGAAGCATAATTCTGCCCTTCCTGACATTTGCCTTTGGGTTATTCTATCAGCTTCTCTGTGGGCCAGCCATGAAACCAGAGGTCACTAAAATTGGCTCCAGGTAAATGAATTGGTGTTTTTCTCCATAACACTGGGCAAAATTAGTATTTTTTGGGAAAAATACAACTCCAGTGTAGAGTGAAAGAGGGTGGTGGATTTTATTGAAGAAAGAACATCTCTTGTTCATACCATCTTCAAGTAACAAACCTTTCCTTTAAGTAACCCCTAGTTTCCTGGCTGTTATCACTACCCTGGCAATGTGCATGAAGTACCTTTACAAAAAATGATGATATATTATTTCCCCCACGTATAAAAATTTAAATTAACTGCAAAAATTCAGACAATTACAGAAGGATATAGAGAAAAGGAAAAAGTCACCTGTAATCTTGCCACTGCTAATATTTAGATATATAGCTTTATGGGCTTTTTGTACAAACACCACACACAAAAACCAATAACCTGGGATCAAAGTTTAGGTAATGTTTTGTAACCTGATTTTACCACTTTACATGACATGGGCATTTTATATATCAAACATAAAGATCTCCATTACCATTTTTAAGATTGCATAGTATTCAATGTCTAGATAAATCAGCGTTTATTCCTAATGATGGACATTACAAAGACTTCTAATTTTTCATCATCATAAACCATAATACGATGGACATTCTTGTATATTCCCCTGGCTAACCCTTGGTAAGTAGAAATTCTGGGTCAAAGAGAGTAACGTTCTAAATAATAATGTCATATGCATACCAATTGGGAGTTTACACATGGGGAAATTGAGGCAAAGCAACTTTGCCCAACCTATTAACAACTGAGTGTCAGAGCCAGGTTGAGGACTCAGATTTTGTAAGGCCCAATCAAGATATTTTCAGCATCTCTTACTGCAATTTGAGATACCTAGATTTCTGCAGTCATGTTCAAATTCTGTGCAAGTGGCGGGGTGGCACTTGTAATTATTGATTTATGGTGTTGTCTTTGTAGTGTAACTTGAGGGGTAATCTCCACTCCCTGTTACAGGTTTCTGAAATACCATTGTAGGTTAGAGCAGTGTTTCCCCAACTTTCTTGATCAAAGGATTACATGGGGCTCTCATTAATAGCACACATTCCAGGCTCTCACCCAAAAGCTGCTGAATTGGGCTCTCCAGGGGAGGGTCCTGAGTTAATGTACTATTTAACAAGCACCACAGGTGAATCTTATGATGGGGAAAATTTGGCACATACTTGGAGGGAAGGCACAAAAATGAGTGATTGTTAGTGGTCAACTTCTTCAATGGGAATTAACCCATTATGTTATATGGAATTGGGGAGAGGGAACAAAAGCCAGGATAAGCACGTTTCTGGGATTAGAGACAGTGAGAAGATTTAGATTCCAAGCAGAGGCATGGTAGCAATAGTTACTCCTTTTCTCTGAAGCATATTTTCCAAAAAGTGACAACTTTTCTGCAAATGTGAAGGTAATTTCCTACCATGATTGTTAAGACTGTGATGGGAAGGCCGTAGAGGATGCAGTGTGGAAGCAAGGTTCAGAGACTGATGTGTCACTCCACTTTCCCAGGCCCCACCCCCAGGTTCGCTTCTCTACCAATATTGTGCCTTTTCTCCAAAGTAGGAGGTCTTGCCTTGGAAAGGACAGATTTGATCCCAGCCCCAAATTCGGGGTTCTGGGAGACTAAGGGGCAGCACAAAAGCCCTGAGCAGGAGGCATGGAGAGAAGGAGGACCACTGTGGGAACTGGTAAAGGTGATGAGTACACCAAAGACTAATTTCTTTTATTTCTTTATTTCTTTATTTATTTTTAGGGTATACTTTTTTTCTTTTCAATGTTATTTATTTCTAAAAAAAATTTTTTTAACGTTTATTTATTTTTGAGACAGAGAGAGACAGAGCATGAACGGGGGAGGGTCAGAGAGAGGGAGACACAGAATCTGAAACAGGCTCCAGGCTCTGAGCTGTCAGCACAGAGCCCGACGCGGGGCTCAAACTCACGGACCGCGAGATCATGACCTGAGCCAAAGTCGGCCGCTTAACCTACTGAGCCACCCAGGCACCCCTTATTTATTTTTTTAATATATGAAATTTA